TTTTATCATCAGTTATTTATTCCTTTTCTTTTTTTCTTTTTTTTTTTTTTGAGAGGTTTTTGCTATAGAGTGTGTGCGCTCATCAGAAAGACAGAGAAGGACAGAAAGCGAGAAATCACCCCTCCGGGCAGGGGGGATGGCCGCCCCGCAATCCCTTCTCCTCTATTCTCCTCTTGGGATTTTGGGCACGCGTGCACATGCACCCAGCGTGAGTTTAAGCCACCAGGTCTGGGACTCGAACCGCAGTTGACTACATGGGAGTCCAGCGACATAGCCATTACGCCAACTGCTGGTCCCATGATCAGTTATTTAATTAGGTTCTTGACAAGAAATTTAGAATACCAGTTTGTGAGGATAAACTCCACTTGTAAGGGCAAACACAGACCGCAGGTAGCCCTGGAGCTGAGGAACAGCTTTGATCTTTGGTCAAATTTGCGAGTCCACAGCTTTCTGATCAACCTTGCGCTGCTCTGAAATCTCATATTTCTCCTTCTCTGTGTCAAAGATCTCACTTTCCTGGTGTCTGGACTTCCGTAGCTTCTTTTTCTTGAAGTAAGCACAGGTAAGGGGTTTTGGGGCGATGGCACATTTCTGGTGTGTTCTAAGCAGTGGGACTGGACTGAGGATCAGAGGTTCAGTCAAGCAGCAAGCCACTGCTCAGCTGCCGTAGGAGAACCACCCTCGTGCCCCTGTGGTGCCCAGTGAGGATGATCAGATGGTCCCGGAGTGAAGCTTGCAGCTTTCTCACAGGCTGACTGAAGAGTTTTTTGCCGTGCCTCAACAGCTTTCAAGCCACATGTTCAGTAGGATAATACCTAGGCATTGTGCACAGTTTAACCACCCGGGTCCCACCATTCTTGTCCCCACCAACTGGCTTTGTGACAGTCGCAAGAACCTTCTTTTTCTTTTTGATCCTGGATTTAGTGGCTGAGTGTTTCCTCGTGTACACGGCCTTCTTGGAATACAGTCAGACCGGGAGTATCTGCCGATGCCCCGGACTGGGACGAGGTTTCAGCTGCAATGGGGTTTCCCCTGCTTGGGCTTTTTAGCCTTCCTTGGGTTCGCCTTTTTAACCTTGCCCCTGGCATCAGCCTTCTTGGCTTCAGGTGTCTTCTCCTTAGCATCCTCTCACAGCCTTTTCACCTGCCATCTTGTATAGTGGGAGAGAGGACTAACAGCTGACTTACTAATTTCTTCAAAAGAGAGTCAGAGAGATAGCACTCTCCCCTGCCTGCACACTCTCCCTGTGCACTCTCCCCTGCCTGCACACACTCTCCCTGTGCACTCTCCCCTGCCTGCACACTCTCCCTATCCCCAGTGGGCTGGCCCAGCTGGCCCAGAACGTGGGTGCACCCATGCACTAGTGTGTGGACTCGGACCTGGAGATGCAAACCTGGGACCCCCAGCGGCCCAGCATTACAGAAGGGTGTTACAGAGGCACTGCCCTCTGAACCCTCATTATCTTTTTTGTTCTTTTTAAAGTTTTGATCTAGGGCATGTGGCTCTGCAGAGAGAGAGACAGAAAGAGAGGGAGAGACAAAGTGAGAAAGCAGCCCCAGGGGGTGGCCATGCTGCAGTCCTGTCTCCTCCCTTCTCCTGGAATTTGGGGCACCTGTGCACTGGTGCCTGGTGTTTTCCAGGCTGCTGGGTCCGGGACTCAGATGGTGCAGCTGGCCATGTGGATCCAGCTGCCTTAACCCCTGCACACCTGCTACTCCCCTCATCCTGTTTAAGGGACAGAAAGTGTTTCTCAGGGGAGGAGGGGTATTCCAGGAAGTAGGTCAAAGGTGAGAGGTGGAAACACCCAACTGGAAAGTGGCAGGAGTGAAGGTCCCTGGCAGGGACTGAAGGTCTCCAGAGGGGAGAGGGTTGATGCTTACTGAAGGAGAGGTATCCAGGGCTGGAAAAGTCAGAGGGGGCTTCCAGGAGGAGGAGGCAGGTGTTGGGACTGAAGGGGTGGTGTCCTGCACCCCCTCATCTGCACTGAGGGTTTTCCCAGCTCCAAGGCCTGGGGAGTTAAGGCGGGGGCCACAGGACACCATGTTTCCCAAGAAAGCTCCTTCTGTGGGCAAGGGGGCAGTGCAGAGAAGGCCATGGGGCCACAGCTCCTGCCCCACCCCCTGAACTGGCCACCAGAGAGAACAACGCAGGGATTCAGTCCTGGCGAGTTCCCAAATCCCTGACCTTTTTTGTGCTATGTCCTTGGCCAGGAATTCCCTGTCCTCCTCCTCCAGGAGGCCTGCCTGGCTGCCCCCAAAGGCAGGACATGGGCTCTGCGTGTTGTGTCCACAGTGCTCGCGTGTCACTCTGCCAGCACCGTCCTCACCATGGCCAGTGCCTCGCCTTGGCCAGGGCCACCTCTCAGCTGGCTCTCAGGCCCTGGGAGATAAAGAGCTCACCGTTACCTGGAAGACAAGCGGGGCTGGCCAGGCACTGAGGAAGGACCAGTGGGGGGAGTTCAACATGGGAGGGTTAAATGGCTTTGGGGGACCTCGAGGGCAACCAATTTACCCCGACTGTGGAGCCTCTCCCTGTTCTACCCTTGAACATCCTGCCCGCATCCAGGAACGCCTGACTCCCAGGCAGACCAGCTCGGTCATCCCAGAGCTGTTCTGAGACCCGAATTCTATGTGAACAAACCAGACACAGCCAGGCTACCCCAGGGCTGTCTCCTAGGCTGAGGGCCCCATTCCTCCCCCCAAGAAATTTCCCTCTCCGCTCACCGCCTAGATGCGATTCCAGAACGCCCTGCGGGCTGACGGAGTACAGGTGCAAAGCAGCAAGAAAGAGCCACCGCTCATTACAGCTCACCTGCGAAGCTCAAGGAGCCCCTGCTGGTGTCTGAGCAGTCCCTGAGCTAACTGCAGGACCTGGCAGGGTACCCCGGGGAGCTGGTGGGTTCCAGGAAAGGGCAGCCTGGCCTGCACAGCCCTTCCCTAGGACCTCTGCTCTCCCCTGGGGCTGTGGCTAGCTTTAGGCACTGGAGGTCGCAGGTGGGGGCAGACCACATCCCAGGCCCTGCCTCACATGTGGCCAAAGGTGTGTCATAGCCTCTCTGCCTCCGCAGCCAGGTTGAGGAGCACTGATGGGCTACCACCTCGCCCAGGCGGGTGTGGCAGAGCCATCCCACAGAGCCCGGGCGAACTGGCAACCACCACGGGCCTCTGCTCCTGCAGCACCTGCTCTGGGCTGTCTGGGGTGGGCTGGATTGATGGAGGAGCACACCGTGGAGTGGGGGGCAAGTGCCTCTCCTTTGGGTGCCCCATGACACTGCCAGGGTCCAATCCAG